GCGGAGGATAGGTGTTATGTGGGTGAAACGAGGTGCACCCACAATCGCTCGCGCGGCCGCATTCTGGAGTTATCTTAATGTACTGGGAATCTCGAGCACAAGATCATGTTGTGATCCTAACAGTTGCGTTCCCTCCCCTCATAGTAGAATTACGTAGCAAGCATAGTAAACTTTACGCAGCAAGCACAAATATTTTGAGTTGCAAGCATATTGTCCATACTATTCTTTGGGAATCCTATTTAGGGGACCACATTTAATTTAGTATTAAACACATCTAGAATTGAAAAGAAAACAAAGTATGTCATAGCTTAAAGCTGTGAAGAGGGGAAGAGAAATACTAGAATGCTAATAAATATTGATTTATGGGGTAATGCTTTGATTCTCTCTGAAGGATTTCAGTGATATCGTTTTCTGCTGCTTTGCTATTTACTGTTTTTGCTTTTATTTTGTTATTGCAGATAGTCCTCATTTAGCGACCAAAGTTACAATGGCACTGGGGAAAAAAAGTAACTTATGATCATTTTTCACACTTACGTTGCGGCATCCCCACGATCATGTGATTTGCATTCAGATGCTTGACAACTGATTCATACTTATGACGGTTGCAGGGTCCTGGGGTCATGTGACCATCTTCTGCAACCTTCTGGCAAGCAAAGTCAATGGGGAAGCCAGATTCACTTAACAAATGTGTTACTAATTTAACAACCGCAGTGATTCACCTAACAAATGCAGCAAGAAAAGTTGTAAAATGTGGCAAAACTCCCTTAAGAAATTTCTCACTTAGCAACATAAAATCTGGATTTAATTGTGGTCGTAAATCGAGTAATTATAACGGGATTATTTCAGTTCTTCTAATATATGAATTAGGCAGGCAGAGTGATGGATCTTAGTATTTCACCTTTATATTTCTATCTGGAAGCAAATGTCTATACGTACACTATATTTGCCAAAAGTATTCGCTCACCTGCCTTTACTCGCATATGAACTTACTGTAAGTGACATCCCGTTATAATTACTCGATTTACGACCACAATTAAATCCAGATTTTATGTTGCTAAGTGAGAAATTTCTTAAGGG